TGTTCGGAAAGCGGACTTTGGTCTGTCTTCTTCACGAATTGGGATCTAATGGAATCCTTTGTTTGCATCAAAGGCAGAGAAGAATTGTTTTCCTGAGAACTGAGCAAGAATGTCGTCAATGCGGGGAAGTGGATATTGATCGGCTTTGGTAACCTCATTGATTTTGCGATAGTCAATGCAAAAGCGATCCTTCCCTTTTTGACGCACAAGGATGGCAGGGGAGGCCCATGGGGAGTCTGATTCCTCTATGATACCTTCCTCAAGCAATTCTGCTAGCTGCTCATCCACTATCTTGCTTCCAGCAGGCGAGAAGCGATATGGTGGGGAAGAGATGGGTTGTGAGTCTCCGGTGTCAATTGTCATTTCTGATAATGTTGTTTCTCCAAGCTTGCGAGAACCATAACCAAATGCCATGTGATTTTCTACTAGTACCTGGCGTAGTCGCTGTTGTTGTTCCGTACTGAGCTCAGGATTGATAGAGATGTCCTGGATTGGGAATGGGTCAAGATATTGGGAATCCACATGTTGGGTGTTATTTAGAAGAGCGCTAGATGTAACACACACTGTGTCCTTGATGGGATGTGGCCGTCCAACAATTGTACCTGCAGACAATGTGATTGGTTTATCTCCTATATGTACTAGATGAACCAGATGGTGTTCTGCTGTACCGCAACCCACAGATCTTGCAGCATGAATCTGTGATCCAAGACTCTTTGGCAACAAAAGATAATTGGTGGTGGTGGGAACCTCGTCTATGACTACTTCTACATCTATTTGATGTCCAGGGTCAAGAGTAAGTTTTTCCTTCAGCCGTGCAGAAGGTAATGCTTTCTGGAAGTTGACATTTGACTGGAGGGGTTTACGTGCAGTGATGGGGATTTGTTGATGAGGGGAGGTGGCAAGTGTCAGGTGTAATTTGCCAAAGTCTACAATAGCATGTTCGGCCACAAGGATGTCATTACCAACAATAATTTTTGTAGCCATGTTTGGAACGAGGTAGAAATTGACTTCAATCTTTACGGACTCTTTGCCTTTTGTGATGAAAGATAATGAAACTGATAGCCAACTGCTTGTTCTTCCAACACCTAGTCCTTGAAGCTGCACTCCAGGAAGGGTGATGCGAGGGAGAGTAGGTAAGAAGCGTTCCGCATAATCGAGGTCCATGATGGAAATTGATGAACCAGAATCGATGCAAACTTGATGGACAGCGTCTTCATCCGCAAGGCATGCAAGGGCGTACGCTGGTGTCTTGTCAATATAGTGGTGTGTGGATTTGGGACTACTGGGTAGGTTTGGTGAAAGAGGAGTACTGATGGATGGTTGGGGTATCACAGTATTTGTGAGAGCTGGTTCCTTTGCATTCTGAGTTTTGATTGATGCAGGATTGTTATTGTTACGTGGTGTGTTATTGAATGAAGTCTGGGGAGCATTCCAACGAGAGGTTCCTAGTGGAGTAGCATTTGAAGATGAGCGTGGTGGAAATGTGCGGGATTGTGATTGTGGCAGTCTTGATGAAGACCAACGATCTTGACCACTGGTAGGTTTAGAAAAGGTTGAAGAAGGGGGTCTGCCTTGTGTAGGACAATCACGTCTCCAATGCATTCCTCCACAGGTGCAAGGAGTTGGAGGTGTTATAGCAGTGTTGCGGCGAGGGAACTGAGTGGCAGTTGCATTATTACTTTGAGTCACTGTTCTTTGCTGAAAACGGTTAGATCCAAAACTGGTTCCTCTGAGGCCTGGCTCAAGATCTAACAAATGCCTTCTAAAGTCTTCTAGGGACATAGATGGAGTGATCCCACTTTTGATGAGTGGATGCATGGACACTGGGATACCCATGAGTACATCCTGAATGAGTTCATAGTCTGATGTGCCATGTGGATATACATAGCGCTGAAGTGAAGTTTTTTCTTGAAAGTAGTCGGTAAAAGTTTCATTATTTCTGAGAGTACGGTAGAGGCATTGTCGTCGAAGAGATAGTTCATGATTAGGAAGGTAGAAAGCATTACGAAGAGCTTCTTGCCAAGTAAGCCATGTGTTCAGAGCGTTTCTCTTTACAGAGCCAAGCTGAGTGAACCATGTTGAGGCTTTTCCAGTCAAAATCAAGGGAAGTTGTTGTAGAAGATCACGATCAGTAGCACCAGAGTACTCAAATATAGCTGACACCTTCTCAATAAACTGATCTACATCCTCATGATCTTTTCCACCAAACTTTGGTAGGTCTGAAGCACGGAAGCGTGGTTTTATGTTCTCACTACGAGTAATGGGGACTTCAGTTTGTGAGGGTTCATGAACAGTTGGTGCTATGCTTGTGTCCCTTTGTGCATCCAGGATTGCTGGACGTTTAACAACATTCTCTTCTATTGTAGTGGTTAACTTGGCAAGTTGAGCTTGGAGGTTGTGGATTTGCATTTGTAGTGTGTCCGTTTCATCAGAGCAGAAGGTAAACTGTTGTCAGCAGTTTCCACTCCAGTAATAGTAGTAGGTAAACCAGTATCTGCTTGAGCCATTGCAGTAGGCTCTGAAGCATCATTTGCTGCTGAGCGTGTAACAGGAGACATGGTGTTTTTAGAAGTAGGAGAGATTAAAGAAGTATAAAGTCTAAGTGGTAAAGATCTATGTAGAAGTCTAGTAGTGTAGTGGTCAAGCAATGAGATAAGAGAAGAGTGAATAGATGAGGGTGCACGGGGGCACAGAGGACCTATAGTCCAGCTTCTGCAGAAGCTCTTCTTACAGTTCCACCGGAGTGTAAGGGGAGAGAAGTATCAAAGTGATATGATACCTGGTTGGCCAACCAAAGAGAGAGTAGAGTCAATAGAGTATAAAGTATTGTTGTTGTATCTAAGATATATGAAAGCACACAAGAGATATGTTGTGTAGAGTGATGTCAAGAGTGCGTGATAGAAGATGAGATTACTTAGCGCTGATATGTAATGTGTTGTCCTGATGTTTGATTTTTTATTTATTTTATCCTGATATCTCCTTGCCCTGTATATGATATATTATTTGAGTGGATTGTTATTATTACTTCTTGAAAAAGAAAAGTCTTTACTGTGTACAATACAGGTGTAGTGGCGCCACTAAAGAAGTCGTTACTGAATATCTATGTTAATGTTATGATGATATTGATTTTTTTTTTTTTTGATTTTTTTTTCCTTCTAAGATTTTATTATTATTATTATTTTATTACAGATGTTATGACCCAGAGGTATGTGTTGTTGTTCACTTCACTATCCGGGTGAGCGCCCCAAGTGTTGGGTGCCCGGTATTGTATGGATACCTGACTCGCCCGAACAATATAATATCCGTCAGTGAAGGTCAACTCTACAAACGTCTAAGGTCAGTATCTGTATCTGTATGAGGATGAGATGTGGTTGAAGGGTAGGTGAGTGGATGATATCGAAGACGGTTGAGATGGTGTTGAAGGTAGGTGAAGGTGATGATGATGATAGCAAGTATGATGAATGGGCAATGGAAGAGGAAAGGTGATGAAAGATGAGATGTGTGATCAGCACCTAAGGAGTTAGGTGATGATGCACATGAGGATAGAAGAAGTGATTGGCAAATGTGTCTAGAAACCAAAGGAGAGTGAAAGTACAACAGAAGAAGTGATTCCCTCTTCTGCAGAACCGGCTCCCTTTATATACATTTCAGTCTTCGAGAGGATCGAATGTTCTCACAATTCGAGGTCGACATCGAAGAACTTCTACAAGAAAGTGACTATACTACTACTAAATAACAAGTCTATGTACACACCGATCTGAACATATGGAAGAAAGGAAGGTCGAGAGAGTCTATACAGACAGTAGAGAAGGAATTACAATGAAGTGAGTGTGGGGAGGGAACGGAAGGAAACGAGTGAGAGATTGAAGAAGACTATATACAAGATAGCACTGAGAATACACTGGTGTACTCCCTGTACACTCTACAAGTATGTCCCTTCTCCCCACAATATAGACAAAGACCCTCATACTTGCGACGTTGGTATTCTTGAGGGGTGAGACGTCCACGTCTGGTCATTTGACTTTTGTTAGGTTGTATGACCTTGGACCAGGATTAGTATAGGTCGTGGATGTCTTGTTGAAGTAACTTGCTGGAGAACGAGTGGTGATATTAGTATTCCTTTGGTAATTGTTATAGGTGTTAGTATTCCCAATTCTGTCGCCCTTTTCCACTCGTCTCTCATAGAGCCTAGTATCCACCTTGATAGCCATTTCTTGGAGGCGGTGGGTGGTGACAGCAGAGTAGTCTTGGTGAACTAGCTCATCCTTAACAATATCCTTGAGTCCACGGTAGAACTGAGCCTTGAGGGCATCATCATTCCACTTGACTAGTACAGCATAGCGTTGGAAATCTGCAACATAAGTAGCAACTGAGCCTCTCTGTTGAAGTGAGTAAAGTTGACGTTCTGAGCCCTATGGCTGCCAGGCTCGCGATATCTCTTGTCTTTGGAAGGGGAGAGGCCAACTCTTCCTTTTCATTTGTCTGGGGAATAGGGAAGGATATAGTGTTCCCTCCCCCATTCAGAATTACTCTCTCTTCTCTCATCCATTCCCAACCTATCACGATGTCCTCGTCACAAAGGGTGGTAACGTCCAGTTTTATTTGGCGAACTTTGCCTAACTTCTCGACACCCAGACTCACTTTGACGAACTCTGTAATGGGTCCAGCGACACTAACCAAGCCGTTGAACATGTGAACGGGTACACTCACGGGGTATCTTCTCTTTTCCTTCCTAATCTTCTTAGCTGCCCTGGGACTGATGTATGAACAGGTTGCTCCAGTGTCCCACAAGGCTGTTAGTTTGATGCCTCCAATATACACATTAGACTTGGGTTGATTTTTACAGGGGGAAGGGTTTAGGGTATGGCAATCGTTTATACATTTTGGAGTGGTGTTTATTGATTTATATGCACATTTACCTGGTCTCATCAGCGCTTTCCTTTTTCTGGGGATAGGGACAGTGGCTGAGAGAATATGAGTGCGGACCCGCCGAGTCTAGCCTATCGCGACGGGTCCCCATCTTTTTCCTCCTCGTCCATTCCCTGCCCTTCCATGCTCGCTTCCTCCCCTCCAATTGCATTGATCTTCCTCCTGTCCCCAAGAGGGATAGCGTTCCCTCCCGTGCTAAACCTCCCTTCTCCCCCGGCACCTTGCCCAAAAGATCGCACGGGGATGATCCCAGCCTTCACCTTCGCCGCTATTACAGGCCAGTCCCGATTGTAATGTCCCTTCTCTCCACATCCGGTACACTTCCCTTCTTCCCTGTGTTTCAACACCTCATCAGCACTGGGCCTCGGCCAACGACGGTTTAGTTCGTCTAAGTCCGTCGGAATTGCCCTTCCCCAGTTCGTGGTCTTAGGTTGCAACACTACAAACTTCGCCGTAGATTGCCCTTTCTCCTCGGCCTTCCTTTCCCCTCCCCTATTTACTTCCTCTCTCTTCTCTCCCTGTTCCTTTACTTCCTTCCTCTTCTTCTCATTCTCCTTCTCCACCCTTTGTCGGTGTAAACGATTGTCCATGGGGACCACAAACTCAATCAACTCTCGGACGGTCTTGAAAACTTTTCCGTGGCAAGCGATTTCATCCAGCAAGTGACTTTTCAGTCCATTCTTCGCCCGGTCCACAAGGTTCCCATCATCACCCCATCCTAACACCGCTACATATCGTTGAAAGGTGGCAAAGTACGCCAAAGCCGACCCATTCTGTCAAAGCTCGTTTATTCCCCTTGCGGCGGTTCCTTCTTCGTCAGGGTCTCCGAAATTGGTTTTGAGATATTGGATGAACTTCTTGTAGTCTAGTAGGTGTTCGGGGGGGTCGTCCTTAGGCAAGTCCGGTTGGACGGCAAGAAGAGGAGTTTCATGTAGATGGGAGATCATGAAAAAGATTTTTACTCGATCGGTGGGGAACTTGCGAGCGTTGATTCGAAATGAACTTCACATTCTGAGATGAATGCTGTGAGCTTTGACCTCTCGCCCCTCCACAGGTCTGGGAGGGGAAGCTGTATCCCTCCATTCATCTCAGCAACCCCTGGGGTCGCCGAAGCCTGTCTTCCCATGGCGAGCCGTACCCCTTCAGAGATCCCCTTGACTATCTGTAACGGTACTGGAAACACGATGACTAGGTCGCAGGTTGGGTCGAACTCAATGGATGTCTCGTAGAAGTCTAGGGTCTCTGGTGCTAATGGATCGTGTCTCCTCCGCAATCGCTGTAGCCAAAGAACGATATTGAAGAATCAGCAAAGTTGGTACTTTGCTGAATGTACTATATACTGTCTACAGGTATCCGTCTCCTCTTCTTAGTCCTACTGCAAGCGTCTATGTACATACTTGGACAGGTAAAAACCCGCTTTTGAGCAAACCCAGTGGGAAAATCTTGAAAAGGGAAAACCCGTCCCTACCTACTGCAGCACTGCCTCCAACTCCCGCTTTCCTCTGTCCTAATCCGTCGAACTCGATAGGGTCCTCTCGATTCGTTGTTACCCCGTAACACTATCCCCCCACCCGTCTCCTGTTCCTTCTTCTTCTCCTGCTCCTCTCGATGTTTCCTCTCTGCTATCATATCTTTATTCATCTCCATCATCATGTTCATTATCGCCAGCATCATCTTCTGAGTTGTGGCCTCCTCCTCAGTTCCTCCTACTACTTCACTCCCGGCCGGACTTAGCCTACCTCCTGTGTTCCCTTCCCTTGGTCGTGGAGTCTGTCCCGAATCTTCGGAACCTGTCCTCACCGTCGGTGGTTCTGATAGTCCGGTCGGCTGGGGGGGTGGTTCAAGAGGTAGGGGTGGATAGAAATCATCGCCTTGAGTTGATCCTTTGGGGGTATCAATTGCACCAGGCAATGGTCCCAAGCATTGTCTTAATTCCTCCAACATCCTCCTCTCCGTCTCCTCTACTGTTTCTCCTGGTCTACTCATACTTCTTGTAACTCTCCTCTCTGGCTGCATACAATTTCAAACTTCTCCGAGGTCTGCAGGGGTCATCGGTAAGAGCGATCCTTGATACTGTCACAATCGTCGTTTCTTCTTCTCTACTGACCGACGCTCAACAAACCCCGGCTAACTACATCGTATTGGGGCGTTGATGTCTCACTAGGACAGGGTACTCGTCGAGGAACTACGGCTAACTTCGCCGTAGTAATACGTCGAGTGGTAAATGATAAGATGATTGTCGATGAACTGTGGCTAACTTTGCTGTAGTGCATCGAACTGCTTGGTAGTAGCTCTCCCTAACTTGATGGTTGTAGCTACTGAATATATCTCTCGCTACTGACAACAATCAAGGATCGCTGAAGAAGTTCAGCGATCTGTAAACTATCTATACTTCTCCTCTCCTCTCATAGAATGTCCCTCAACTCCTGCACAGCCTCGCGCTCAGTCCCCTTCGCTCATCTTCATCGTACCTCGCCATATCCCCGGTATCCTACTCCGCTCACTTCGACTAACTTCGCCTAACTTCGCCTACTCCGCTCTCCCTCGGTCTCCTTCTCCTAACTTCGCCGCAGTTCTCCGTTAGGCGGGGTGGTCGTGACAAATAATCCCTAGGTTCTCATAACTTTGTCGTATTTGGCTGGTGGTTCGGTGGTGGATAGTGGTTCTGTGATGGTGAAAGGAGGGACGGTGATGGTAGTTGTCAGGGATGTTACGACATGGTTCGTGACACTCCGGTGCTATGTGATGGATTGTGTCTCCTCTGCAATTGATGTATCAAGAATCAGCAAAGTTGGTACTTTGCTGATGTACTATATACTGTCTACAGGCATCCGTGTCTACTCCTTCCCTGCTGCCAGCGTCTATGTACATACTCGGACAGGTGAAAAACCGCTTTGAGCAAACCCAGTGGGGAAATGTCAAAAGCGGAAAACCCGTCCCTACCTAATTGCCGCACTGCTTTCCATTCTCAATATTCTTTATCCTGATCCGTCAAACAAAATGGAGTTCCCTCAAATTGTTGTTACCCCATAACAATTACCCCTCTTGTCTTTGACTTGAGCTTGCAGCACCACCTGCCCCCTTGGAGTTACTTTTCTCCACATATGCCCCCAGGTTCTGGTCAAGCGTCTTCAGATGTGGCAGGTTGGCGTCCTCCTCAGGTTTAGTAAAAAACTGCAGTATGCGGCTTCTGTAGATAGCAGCAAGACACTCATTAGTGACATCCGTGCCATCCATTTGGGGATCCATCTCATATGCAGCCTGTATGTTCATTTGCATGAGTTTTGTGATCCTGTCCGCTGTCACCATATTGTTGACATCACGTTTAGCACCAGTTTTCTCATAAGCCGTGAAAACAGAGTTGAAAGCCCCCAGTGCCTCTACCTGGTATGTGTTCAAACGCCTGTCTGATTGCCTTGTCATCACTTTAATGTTTGTGGGAGAGGTTGAATTTAGTCGAAGAGCAAATGTCGGATCCCCACTTTCTGCTATGACTGCATACAAAGTCAGTTTTGTACACTTCCAAAGATTGCTAGCAATACGGTTCCGAATCTCGGGTACTTGTAGGAAATTGTCTGTACCACTTTTGCGGGCAGACCCCCTGGCAGTGGAGCCACTTACAACTCCCCCACTCTCACTTGTCCCACTTCTACCGCGTCCCATGCGAGCCATTGTGTGGGGGTCTCCTTGAATGGAATGCCGATCCACAAAGTCTTCCAAGAAAGATTGTGGAAAAGTGTGGGATGCACCACCATCTGTGCTTTCAGGGGCGGGAGATGTGCTGCTCATTCTCTTGGTTGTCTACAGTGAGTCAATATACTTTGCCAATAATGTGAAAAGACGGGGAAATGTACTCGTACGGATCGCGGTACCCATTTATAGCACTAACGCAGTAGTCTCACCACCCATAATCTCAGAATCGCCCATTGAATTGACGAACAGTGGATGTCAGCACCGCATTCATAACGTCACACAATGGATCAGTCGCTCCACCATCCTCCTTCTGGCCCCTTCGACCACGGGCTTTGCCGCCAAGGAAAATCTCAAAACCATCTCGCCTGCGTCACCGCCTTCGGTCATTTCTGAATGGATCGTCTCTCTCTTCCCACGGGATATAGTCTCCAAACACCATATAGTCGACGTTGCGTACAGTCGGCGCCGTCATGGCAGTTCTCCCATGACATCATCATTTAGCGCGAGGACTAGTGGGCGGTGTATCAAGGAGAGAGCGAGATATGATGTCGAAAAGTGCCAAATCCGAGGGCAGGTGACCGGTGGGGGCGACGGAATGTAGAGACAACATTGACGGCATTCAAATGGACGTAGGAAAATAGCATTTGGATTGCGGAAAAGCTGAGCCGAGTGACGTGCAAGCACTTTGCCCAACGATGGATCAAAGAGACTGGGGGAGAAGGAGATGGGAGAAACAATATCCAGGTCGTGAGTGTTCCGACAAATTTTCCCGTTAGATACTGGGGTCGTCAACCAGGGATATGTCTGTAGAGACCTACGGCCTACGGGGCGTACTCTGACACCTGCTGTGTGATGCGATAGTTCATGGTATAGGATGGCCCGGAAAACTGAAAGGCAGATCAAAGATGTTCGAGTGTTCGCATCGTGTCCTACGCTATCACTATCCGCCCCAGCATCCGTCCTTCTTCTCAAGTGCTGATCTCCCCGATTGGAGCCGAGTACTATCTCCTCCCGGCGGAGTGTAGAACAGAAAGAGAGATATGACATGTAGGGAGTCGTGGTGAGATACTCAAGTCTTCGACATGTTCTCTTTTGATGACACCAGACTGGCCAAGATGACGAATTTCCTCAAGACATCCTGTCGTCTTACTTGTTTCTTCACCGCACACCGATCGGTCCATACTCAGACGACTTGAGTTCTTGCTCCATATCGACGGAGAAGAGAGTGTGATGGAGAAAGTGTGAGGATGAGAGACTGGGGATTGGAGGACAGGCGTAAAAACTGGGACGCAATCGTATGAGATCAACCCAGGAAGGATAGAGGGAATGGTGGACGACTGGTGAGGCATCTCAATAGTGGGTCCCAAAATCTCCTTCTACTCAAAAGCTTGTGATGATGCTGCTCACGTATAGGTGACCAATGACTATCCCACACGATCCTACTATAACATCATATACGGTGATTTGTGGATATTCCGGAGGATCATTTCCTCAAGTGTCAACCCTTTCATCGCACTTGCCTGGTCTCTTCTCTGTTGTCCCCACAATTTGACGGCACACGTGTTGCGCGAGCGTGGAGGTGGAGGATCTGGCACAGGTGGCAATTTGAGGTAGGGGAGATGGTGCACACGTCCAGGAGCAAATTCTGGTATCGGGATTGACGAGGTCACACAGTGAGTACTGTCGTCTGACATGTATAGCCCCCTCCGTCTCATTCAGCGGATTCATCACCTGCATCACCCACTAAATCCATTCATACCTTTGCATACATCGGAGATCAGAGTACATGCCATCTGTTCCCAAATGATACGAAGGTTTCACAAGACATTTTCGACATAGTTTTTCCCCTTTTTCCCCTTTCTCTTCCCCTACCTTCGACTCGCGTGTAGACTATGTCATCCAGCAGCATTCCCCATTCCCCTGTTGTCTATGTCTAGGAGACTCGGCCTTTCATGTCTGATATGACAACAGGACGTCCCCTGACCCTTCGAGTTGAATCACCGTCATGAAGCGGACTCGCTTCATTTCCCCCTTCGGCCTTTTTTAACGACACTCTTCTCTGTGTACCTCTTGTTGACCGCCCTACATGCCGTTCTTTCAGATTACATCAAGTACGAGAAGACCGAGGATCGCCAGGTCCCAAGTCATACAAGCAAAGCGGAGCGCTTGGGGTAGCCCAGTGAGAAGAAGTTATTCTAGAATGCTTCACACCAAGACGGAATCTAGGTATGTTTGCTGATGATTAGTTGATAATACAGAGGGGACAAAGGGCGTGCATTGATTCTACATGTCTCTATACTTATCACATTCCACTCACATGCAGTAGACCAGAGACGATCAAATAAAGTTCAGAGGATAAGTTGAATGGAGAAATATTTGATGGAAGGGGTAATTATTTAGGGGGGGTTTGGCGGTCCTATTGGCTAACACTATGTGTGTTCACTTGACCACATACTTCACACATCGAAAACCCTTGTATTTGCCACGAGCTGACTTACGGATTCAGGTAAACTTGCCATACACTCTTACTTCTCTCCCCCCTTCCCCAGTTCCAAACAGTGTTTCTGTCTCTTTTGAGGACACCATGGTCATCATCCACCTTGTTCGCACTTCATATGCTGCATGACTATATATATATCTATGTGTATTCAATGATCCCTGGAAATACATTTGTCAATGCCGGTCGAACTCTGTCTGATTGCACCCACTTCACTCTTTCGTCTCACCCTTTCTTCCAGACGCTGCTAGCGGGCTCTCTCACTTATTGATAGCCCCATTGAGAGACCATCGAACAAAGGCGAATTTGGAAGGAAGACAACTACGTTCTTGGCTGGTGTTATATCCTCGAGACGTCCGCTTCCTTGTAAGTTCATGGGAGTTGGAAACACGATCAACCCGACTACGACCACAAACTGGGACACGCGAAATTAGTGAGAGACATCTAAGATTCCGAACACACAATGCCGGAGAAGCAGGGTGTGGTATCCCTTAAATGTCCCATCTTCCCACGTTGACCAGCGTGGTAAATTCTACGGCCTCCAGGAAGGAAAAGCAAGCACAGGAATTATGACCGTTTAGGTATGTGAATCGGTCGCGGGTCGCGTCCCCATGGCTCAAATGTGGTGCGGACACTCCGTTCATCGTCTACAAACACCGTCTGGCAAATTCTGCCAGGGAATGTCTACCAATGACTATCAATTCGCCACTTGAACTGCAGATTTCTCAGTGCCCCTGACTTTTGTCTCAACCATCATACATTCGTCAGAGATGAACATTTTGCGTCAAGACAGTAACATGTGTCCAGATCAACCTTCCAGCCTGGAAATCATGGGTCACCGCAACCCCCTGGTGATGGATCCTCCGGGGTATGTCTCTCATTTTACCAGCAACCTGTGTACAACAAGTGGTGACACTGTTTTGAATGACTCAGCAAAGAGATCAGTGGATTATAAAACAGCTGCAGACTTGCAGGAAGTGATTAAGACTAGCCTTGCCAGGTTTGACCTCTTCCGCCTGAAAATACATGAGCCTCTGAAAGGTGACACATGTGCTTGGTCAGCATTGAGAAGAACGGCTTTGGTCAGCTGGACAGGTTGCCTGTGATAGATGAAGATATATGGTATCAGGATCTACCCAAATATACTCTCACTGCACTTGAGGCGCTCAATACACTCTCAGTAGCTCCAGAGGCTCTGCAGTCCAATGATTCAAGGTGGACCAGACATCTACTCGAAGCTGTCACTGTTATGGTGATGATCATGACACCCACTGCCAAGGAGAAGAGTCTCACACATATTGTTTTGGGAGTAATGTACCATTTGGAACAGTTGAAATTCGCTCGTGCTGACAAACTGGGACCACCTACACCGGCGATGAGAACACTAGCTGATGAGCTAGTGAAACATCCCCGTAGCAAGCAAGCCGGACAGCGAGGTGAACATTTCTCCTCTTGTCCAACATGCATGAACCATCCATTCCCATAGGAGAGGGGAGTATGGACGGCGGATACGAGTAGATGGAGAAATGATGCACCATGAGACTTTGGGAGCTCTTCTGTTGCACCCTCCTTGTCGCATGTCTGATCAGGTGTTACACCAGTCAATATGGACTTATTCCTCCAAAGACTCTTGAACAGTTTGCGCGGAGGGACGTACATTAGTTGAGACAACCCGAGCGGGGCTTCTTGAATCCTACCTGAACACTGCTTTCTCTAACATTTGAAACTCCGGTTGAAAATCTCCTTCAGCCTTCCCACCCTATACATCCCCACTGATTCCAATTGACTTTCCAAGTAATCACCCACATCTCCCCCACATTTAACTCTCTTTCTTGACCACCCGGACGTAAATAAATCAGTGATCAAACCAGCATGCCTGTCACTGAGATAGATTCCAAGATCATCCCCCTTCCCAATATCAAATTGCCGCCACCTACATTGCGTTCACCTACGTTCAAACTTCCCTCTAATGACAAACTGCTCAGCATCACGTTCAGCCAAGTTGATGGACAGCCCGAAGAATTGGATTTTACTGACATTCCTTCCATTACCCCTGGGTTCCCAGCTACACCGTGTCTGCCAGTGTATAATCGGTTGTTACCTCCGCATTTCAGAAGTCAGGATCTATTCAACGCTGTCTGCACATTTCAAGATATCCTGCCAAATGTTCTCTCCCACAAGAATCGATTTGTGATCCTCTCAGGGAGCTTTGCCAGATTTCTCTGTTTGACCGCTGATGAGACCAAGACTACACCGCTCATCCCCTCTACCTCAAAGCTGAGGTTGTCACTAGGACATGAAACTTCTCGGTATGCCTGGGCCCTGGACTCAGTCTACAAGACTGGACGCCTGAATGGGTTGGGAGAAGAGACGCACGGTATCGCTGGTCTCATGGCCTCTTTATGGCAAGCTGCATGGGAGTTGGATGTTGATCTTCCTCTGGAAGAGGTTGCTCCGGTTTGTGTTGGAACATTGCTCCGTTCGGACCCCGGATTGCAGCTTCTGCGGCCGCGGGTGACATCACTAGATGAGGCACGGCTCGCAGAGTCAAGGGAAACACTGGGGGAGATGTGTCAGGATTATGGGTACCTATAGACGGGTTCCTCAAGAGTCGTACGCAGAAGTCGTACTCCACCTACCCGTTCCCGTCCCCGTCTCACTAATCCCGCTACGGCGTCCTCCGTTCTCCTGTCCTACCTAATCGCCACTTCTTTACCATGCTATACGTTTTCTTCATCTCCGTGTCCCTCATCTATCTCCGTCTTCCTTCGCTCTTACACCCCATATCACTTTCCACATTTACTCCGTAGATTCGGTATCACTCCGCTCACTTTTTAGTATATAGAAACACCCCTTTTTCGTAGATGTCTTGTCGAATGTATTTTCTCGTCACTTAGCAAATCTTTTGCCACTTGATCTCATCGACTTATAGTCTCTTCGATCCACTACATCACTTAACTATAAACTACATCACTAGGTTTGTTCCCTACGAGGCCCTATAGCCATAGCTCATAGACGCAGACTATTTTCAACGTCTGGTCCTGACATAAAATACATTCGACCTTACTTGTACCAAGCAAGCCTAGGTGATTCTTCGATCACCACAGTACCGTTCTCAACAATGTCCCAACTAACCTCTCCAACTCTTGAAGGTTCTGTTTTAGAGGAAACGCGCGCAGAAAGACACGATCGCCGAAACCTACAAGCAGAACTCCAAGAAATGAGACAGCTATATCAAGAACAGATCGCAGAATTACAATCTGAACTCGAAGCTCTTCGAACCGCTTCTGCAGTAGTCAACACAGAAGGCGGAAGGAACATTGAAGAAAATGATAACACTATTAGGGAACCTACAGCGCACAGGTCACCCCCTAATAGGACTCAAAATATTTCGGTAGAAATAACTCGTAATATGGAAGACACCCATCCGAAATCGGTCAATATCCCTTCGGACCCAGAGGAATTCCATTCTATAAACGGTAACCCGCCAATCGATCAATACCAGACCATTCCACTTGCGACAACCCCTGTCCGAGCTCCTTCGCATTTGCGAACACCCTTCGACAATGTTCCATTTTCGACCACTCACCCCGAACGTTTCCGGGGAGGCACATTCGACACCCACGATGTCAACCCGCGTGTCTCGCAGGACATGTTGGCTGCCGACGTACACAAATTAGATGTCAAACCACCCGAAACGTTTGACGGCCAAGGGCCGAAGGTAGACGCATATGTAGCTCAAGTAAAACTTTATCTGGCTATTAGGGGAGGAACTATGAGTGATAGGTTTAAGGTATTATGGGCCGCCGGTTACCTAAGAGGTAACACAGGGACGTGGTGGCAGGCCTACTTCATCAAAAAGGAATCCGAACAGCCCTCTTGGTGTCTTCAACTGGAGGAATTCCTAGAACAGATTAGACGCATGTTTGGAGATCCTGATCGTCATCGCTACGCCGTTCAACGTCTAAAAGGACTTCGTCAAGACAAATCGGTATCCGATTATTATTCGTCTTTCTTGTCGATTTCCGCGGACATAGACTGGGACGACCGGGCGCTAAAGGATGCTTTCGAATCAGGCTTGTCGCGAGAGATACGCATAGCTCTCGCGAACCGCGAACACCAACCCAAAACCCTTCGGGACCTTGCCGAAGCTGCTATTAGCCTTTACGTACACCTCGACGGGGTAAAGGTATCGTCAAACGGTAATAACAGTTCTGGAGGAGGGTATCATCAGAATAAGGACAACACAAAATACAATTCGAATAACAATAAAGGTAATTCGGATAGTACTTTCCAGAAATCTAAGTCAGGTCAGCAGAACACGACCAACGAGAATAAGGAAAGAAAACCACAAAACCCCAAAGCGAAAAGCGACAATGAGAGAAAGTCTTTGACTTTCAAGGAAAAGAAACATAGGAGGGATAATGGTCTGTGTCTGTACTGTGGAAGTCCAGATCACATGGTAATCAACTGCCCAGAAGCGAAGAAGCGTCCCACGCCAGCGACTGGGGCAAACCGGATCGGACTAAAAAGTCTAACAATCGAAGGCCCCAATAACAATCAGGACAAGGACACGACGGAGACCAATCAGAGTTCACAAGAAGCGACGACCCACCGAGTCAGTTTCAACTCTATGATGATGGAACCGGTTCTACCCTTACCCAGTTCCGTTATGGGGTCTCCAGTATCCAAAGACCCACACAAGCTTATCACTATCCCTGTTGTCGTACTCAGCAATAAACAAGTCCCAACCCAAGCCATGGTAGATAGTGGTGCTACAGTGGACTTCGTAGACGAAGGATTCTTGGCCGAATTCGGATTCAAACCTATTAAAAAAGCTATACCAGAACAACTCCGATTACCAGACGGCACTACTCGCCTTCTGACGAAGGAGATACATTTTCGGGTACTACTAGGCAAAGGTTTCAAACCCTATGAGGCTACCTTCATGGTCACAAAGATCCACCCGGCACCAATCGTACTAGGCATGACTTTCTTGAACAAAATGAATCCGATTATCGATTGGGCTTCCCGAATTTTGCTACCTCGGCCGTCCACCTTGGATAACCACATTCAGCAATTGAATATCATCAGCCCCGAATCGTTTAATCAACATAACGATCCGGAAGATGTAAAAGGTGCGCTATACGCAAGGGCAGTACCAGAGATCAGCACAAGCCCTAAAGATATTGTACCACCCGAATACTGGGAGTTTCTTGACGTATTCTCAAAAGGGGATGCCGATAAACTTCCTGAACATAGACCATTCGATCATCGTATTCCCCTTATTGAAGGGAAAACACCCACTTTCGGACCCATTTATTCCCTGTCCGCAATTGAACAAGACGCCCTCCGGAAATATCTAGAAGAAAACCTTTCCAAAGGTTTTATTACGCCATCCGAGAGCCCCGCAGGAGCTCCAATACTGTTTGTCAAAGAGAAAGACGGGAGCCTGCGTTTGTGTGTCGACTACCGTCGACTAAATGAGATAACAGTAAAGAACCGTCATCCATTGCCCCTAATCGGCGACCTTTTGGACCAATTGAAGAATGCAAAGATCTACTCCAAGATCGATCTTCGGGGAGCCTATAATCTATTGCGGATAGCAGAAGGGGATGAATGGAAAACGGCATTTAGAACGCGGTATGGCCTATTCGAATATAGGGTTATGCCGTTTGGACTCACGAATGCGCCAGCCTCTTTCCAACACTTAATGAACCATACGTTTCGCGACATGCTAGATCGCTCGGTGATCATCTACTTAGATGATATCTTAATCTACTCTCCGGATGTCGAGACTCACATCAAGGACGTTACAAAAGTGCTTGAACGACTCCGTCAACACAAGCTCTATGCTAAACATGACAAATGCGAATTTCATGTTGACAGTGTTGAATTTCTTGGGTATGTTATCAAACCGGGAGGAGTGGAAATGGATCCCAAGAAAGAGGTTACAGTGGCGGAATGGCCAACTCCCAAATCGGTCAAGGACGTCCAATCATTTCTAGGTTTTGTCAATTTCTACAGGCGCTTTATCGGAAACTTCGCACATATTGCCAAGCCTCTACATGACCTTACACGAAAGGGGATAGTATTCTCCTGGGATGAACCATGCGAAGCAGCTTTCCGAGAACTTAAAAAGAAAGTTGGGTCAGGGCCCGTTTTACGTCATTTTGACCCCAATTTGCCCTGCGTAGTGGAGACCGACGCTTCCGACTACGCACTTGGAGCAATTCTTTCACAAAGGGAGAATGACGTACTTCGACCTGTCGCTTTTGCCTCAAGGAGCATGATTCCAGCAGAACTTAACTACCCGGTTTCAGAAAAGGAACTCTTAGCAATTGTGTATGCCTTTAAAGAATGGCGACAATACCTAGAAGGAACTCAAATACCTGTCATAGTTTACACAGACCATCAAAGCTTACAGGTTTTCTTAACCACCAAACAACTTACTCGAAGACAAGCAAGGTGGTATGAATTCCTCTCAGAGTTTAACTTCACTATCCATTACAGACCCGGAAAGCAGTCTACCAAACCAGACGCTTTGTCCCGCCGGGCGGACTACAGACCGTCGGATAGTAAACAGTCCTCATTGTCTTCCGAACTCAACCCCTTCAATAACCAACAACTCCTCTCCAGTGAGCAATTATTATCAGCCATGGACCGGGAACCGAAGAAGACTATTCGCGTTGATGAGGAAGAGGATCGGGAAGAGATATTGAAGAAAGAGCATGGCTCTAAGCATGCCGGACACACAGGTTGGAGGCCGACATACAAGCGAATCATTCGCTACTGGTGGTGGCCGGGGATGAAGGAGGACATTCGGAAATATTGTCAGGAATGCGAAGTGTGTCAACGTACAAAAGCAAGACGACAAGCCCCCGCCGGTTTACTCGTTCCACTCGACGTTCCCGGAGCCCCCTGGTCGGAAATCACTTGCGACTTTATCGGCCCCCTCCCACGCTCAAAGAATTTCAACGCCATATTGGTGGTAGTAGACCGTCTAACAAAGATGGCAGTCTTCATACCTACAGTTACCACACTATCGGCAGAAGATTTCGCAGAACTATTTATTGAAAAGATCTATACCAGATTCGGGATCCCTGACTCGATTGTCTTGGACCGCGGTAGCATATTTGTGTCCAGGTTTTGTAAAACCTTAACTACATTATTGGGAACAGATTTGAGGTATTCAACCGCCTATCACCCCCAAACCGACGGCCAAACAGAGAGAATCAATCAATGGCTTGCACAATACCTTCGCGTATACGTCAATACGGAACAAGACAATTGGAGTTCGCTTTTACATTCTGCAGAACTCTGCTACAACACGAACTACCATAGCTCAATCCAGATGTCCCCTCTTTCTGCTTACTCAGGGAGGGAATACCGAACCGACATGATGCAGCCAATTTTCGACAAGGCCACCGACTTACCCTCTCCACCAGCGATCGCACGTGTTAGTGCCCTAGGAAGATTACAGGAAAGGCTCAAAGAAAATCTTCGGAAAGCTCAGAAATCATATAAACACCAGTACGACAAAGGGAGAAGGATAGCTAGTTTTGAGAAGGGGGAGAAGGTTTGGATAGACAGCAGGAACCTCAGAACCTTGAGGCCCATGAAGAAATTGGATAACAAATACATCGGTCCCTTCAAGGTTCTAAAGAAAATCAACGACAATGCTTATAAAATTGATTTACCCCCACATATGATCGCGAATGGTATCCATTCGGTTTTCAATGTGAAGCTATTATCAAAAGTCCATGGGGAAATTCAGAATCCACAACCAGCAATGGTCGCATTACGAGAAGAACCCCAGGATTCTGAGAAGGACACTTACGAAATCGATAAGGTCCTTGCAAAAAGAACAATTAGAGTCTCCGGAAAAGGAAAGAAGGAGGTTCAATTGAAAATCAAATGGGTTGGCTACCCAGTAGAAGAAGCTACTTGGCAACCCATGGATTCGATTAGTGATAATCCCAAAGTCAGGGAATACTTGAAGCTTTGGGAATGCGGAGAGCCGTTGCCGATGATGTGAACGAGGATTTTGTTCCCATTCTTCCGGCAAAGAGACAAAGAAAACCGACCGAACGGTCGCAGTTTTCGGAAACCTATTAGGTTTCCGGAAACACCTAGAATCAAACATACTTCGACAAGACAAGAAAAGGGATCACATGTTTCACAAAATCTTTTAGATTCATTATACACACACCCCGCCAATCCAACAGACTATTCGGGGGACTCCCATTGTACTAGCCCATCGTCATCTGTGTGGGGAGAATCCTCACGGGCCTTTCCCTTTCTTGTCTTGGCCTTCTTTGCCCTGGGAGTAGACAAAGTCCCTGCGGGCAAGGGGGAAACGGTTCTCTTGGCGGTCGGTCGGGGAGGCTCAAGTTGCCACGATCCGACGGCGATATCGTCATCTAGATAATACGACGACCACTCTCCGAAAGCACGACCGGGAACTCGTTTATCTTCACTCTGGATTTTTGCTCCGTCAACGGCCTACTTTGTTAGCGGAAAGCCCATCCCGGAAATATAATAGCCTACTAGAGCTACTTTTTCCACCATACCATACGCAATATCCACATGTTCAAAATTGCGATTCGCCGGCTGATGTAGATGATGCCCTGCTTCGGCCAAATGGGCCAAAGCCGAATCGAGAGGGGGAAAGAGAGCAGAGAATTGCGCCATCGAGAGTTTCAGCTGGGACCGAGGTCCAACGCGGGAGTCCACACATAGATTACAGGTGCCCCTATCAATGATGCACCAAAAGCAACTTTCCGCTCAGCGACTACCCCTCACCGAGAATGTGTAATGGACTTACTGGCCGGCGATCCTCACTTTACGAGAACCCGAGAACCGTACAATCGGGACTAGGCAGTGCCACTTGTTCATTTTCGAGGACCACCTACGCTTTCGCTCCTTCAGCATGTCCGAACAATTCGAGCATGGTTTAGCCAATCTACCGATGATTTCGCCTTTTGTTTTCAACAGGTCTATAATCGGTTTGACTTTCTCCTTGGTTGACGCGGCTTTCAAATTGGACCACGCTTCGAGGTACTTTAGAAACCCCTACCCCATTTAGCGTTTTGGAAAGGGGCTTGAGAAGAAGCTTACCTGGGCGGTTGGACTTTCTGTGGTAATTGGAACGATTTCGACATCGTTATACGCGTTCTGATGACCCCCTTCTTTCGGAACAATAACCTCGCCATCCTCAATGTAAGGAGCCCCAACGGAATCCGAAAGCCCCCTCCCCGCAGCTCGCGCCAATGGAGTTCGGTAGGCGACCTTTGACCCCGAAATTGGATCAGCCTCCGCGGGATGTCGCACGGGCACGCCGGCAAACGGGGTCCTGGCATCGGGATTGTTCTCACCCCGCAGAGGACTGCGATCAGGAGCATTCTCATTCTCGGAAGCCCCTTGTCGTAAATCATTTGGCCCCAAAACCTACCACCGAAAAGAATATCGTCAGCCATGAAATATCGCTCTTAGGAAAGTTCTCACAGGAGCACGAGGAGGAAACAGGGGACGACGATCGTCACTGCCGGTGTCAGACATGGTAAATCACGAGATAAAGAGTCTAGATGAGGTTCGCAGCAAAAATTCAAGGATGTTAGCAAAAGAAAGTGATGAGGTAAAAGGAAGAAGAAGAGAAGAGGATACTGGAAAGTGGATCTCGAGATCAGACAGTGTGATATTGAATTACACGTCATAATCTAGGGCGTTGGCTCAATCACAACATGCGCCCTCACTACCATCATTACTGTCCTCACTACCATCATCTCCGATAAAAAGTGCCACATGCCACTTTCGATTACATGCCACTTTCGATTTAGTAGAATTTTGTTTTTCTACAAGACTAGACGACGTTGAGATGACGTCTACCGAAGGGGGAGAGTAATGTCAGGATTACGGGTACCTATAGACGGGTTCCTCAAGAGTCGTACGCAGAAGTCGTACACCACCTACCCGTTCCCGTCCCCGTCTCACTAATCCCGCTATGGCGTCCTCCGTTCTCCTGCCTACCTAATCGTTACTTCTTTACCATGCTATACGTTTTCTTCATCTCCGTGTCCCTCTGTCACAATCGTCGTTTCTTCTCCTCTTCTGACCGACGGTCGACAAACCTCGGCTAACTACGTCGCAGTGGGGCGTCGATGTCTCACTAGGACAGGGTACTCGTAGGGGAACTACGGCTAACTATGCCGTAGTAATAGGTCGAGTGGTAAGTGATAAGGTGATCGTCGAATAACTGCGGCTAACCTCGCCGTAGTACGTCGAACTGCTCGGTGGTAGCTCTCCTTAACTCGGTGGTTGTAGCTACTGAATATATCGCTCGCTACTGACAACAATCAAGGATCGCTGAAGAAGTTCAGCGACCTGTAACCTATCTATACTACTCCTCACTTCTCATAGAACGTCCCTCAACTCCTGCACTGCCTCACGCTCAGCCCTCTTCGCTCAACCTCGCCGTACCTCGCCATATCCCCGAGATCCTACTCTACTCACTTCGACTAACTTCGCCTAACTTCCCCTGCTCTGCTACCCCTCGGTTCCCTTCCCCTAACTTCGCCGTAGTTCTCCGCTAGGCGGGGTTGTCGTGACAAATAATACCCTCTTGGTTCTCGTAACTTCGCCGTAGTCCGTCTCAGTGGTTCGAGTGGAGGTTGGTGATGAGGAAAGGAGGGTCGGTGATGGCGGTTGTCAGGGATGTTACGACGTAGTTCGTGACACCCTCATCTATCTCCGTCTTCCTTCGCTCTTACACCGCATATCGCTTTCCACATTTACTCCGTAGATTCGGTATCACTCCGCTCCCTTTTTAGTATATAGAAACACCCCTTTTTCGTAGATGTCTTGTCGAATGTATTTTCTCGTCACTTAGCAAATCTTTTGCCACTTGATCTCATCGACTTATAGTCTCTTCGATCCACTACATCACTTGACTATAAACTACATCACTAGGTTTGTTCCCTACGAGGCCCTATAGCCATAGCTCATAGACGCAGACTATTTTCAACGTCTGGTCCTGACAAGATGATAGGGTTGTGGTCGCGGATGGCTTGCCAGTCGGTAGAGGTAGGTGAGGAGCCGGAAGGTGAAGGGATTGGGGAAGAACACAGTATGTCCACATAGGTTGTGATGGGAGTAGATTGCATCTAGTAACACATTGCAGGTAATATGTATACGATGAGATGGTTTACGAGTACCATAGCCGAGGGTCCGGTGAGACGCACGGAACGGAGTGTATGCGTTGAGGTACGGTGTTACGTAATGATGATCATCGAAGCACGTCATCTTTCCAGATAGATTCCATTTCCCGACTTTTTTTTTCTTCTCAAACTTCTACGATATCTTTTGTTTTTTTCTTGTTTTTACACTCGGTACATATAACAGCAACTTCTCGTCACTGTACCCACACCCACTCACCCACCCACACCCACACGATCATGGCGTCGAGGTCTATACCGTCCCTCGTCAGACACGCATCCACCTCGGCCGTGACAAAGCCTAAAGTGTTGGTCATCGGTGGAGGTATGTCCCGTCTCCCCACGGTAAGTTGTACTGCCTTCGCTGACACCCCATGCAGGTACTGGTGGTCTGTCTGTAGCGAATCAGAGCTTCAAAGCGGAAGGGCAAAGTCTGTCACCTGGCGATGTGACCATCGTGGATGTGAGTCTCTTCTCAAGTACAATCGGCCATCAACAGCAGCCTATGCTGACGCCCAGAGTAACAAATATCACGACTATCAACCTGGCTGGACAGTCGTCGGTTCTGGCTTGGCTCAGAAAACATCATTCCGTCGATCTCTCTCCGCTCTCCTCCCGGCTCATATCGGTCACATCGATCAACAAGCGACGGCATTCGAGCCGACTGCTAATCGAGTCGTCTTGGCAGATGGGAGTAAAGTGGAGTATGATTATCTCGTCGTCGCTGCTGGTCTGGCCATCAGTGAGTGCATCTCCTCCCGTGGACCATTTGAACCTGTTTGCTCACCTGAAGATTACGATAAGATCAAGAACCTCACCGAAGCTCTTAAGGACCCTCTCACCAGCAAAATCAGCACTATATATTCATACGAAACGGTGGACAAGACTTGGGAGTTGATCAAATCGTTTGACGGGAAAGGAGAAGCTGTATTCACACAACCTTTTGGACCTGTGAAATGTGCCGGTGGTGAGTTCACAGGTTTCCTTCCTTGTGTCATCACTTCCACCCTTTGCAACCGACTGTATGGGTCCACATTCAGACCCCAACAATATACTAGGAAAGACAGCTCATTCCAGCTCCTCAAAAAATCGCCTACATGGCAGACGCTTATTGGAAAACGACCCCCTCAGTCCCACATTCCAGATTCATAACCGGTATGCCTACCATGTTTGCCGTCCCCCACTATTCCAAAATCCTCGATCGATTGAGGCAAGAGAAAGGCATCGCAGCAGAATTCAACACAAACCTCGTTGAAGTCCGACCGGAAAGTAAAACCGCAGTTTTCGAAATCTTGGCAGGGGAGAAAAAGGGTGAAAAGGTGGAGAAGGAATTCGGTATGCTTCATGTCGTCCCTCCGATGGGACCGTTGGGATGGATAAAGAAAAGTCCATTGGCCGATTCGGTTGGTTGGGTTGATGTGGATCAAGGGAGTTTGCAACATAAGAAGTATCCCAACGTGTTTTCGTTAGGAGACGCTAGTTCTTTACCTACTTCCAAGGTGGGTGTTGTTTTATTGGAAACTTTTTTCCTCATCTCGCCATATCTTTGAATCTTCTTTCTTCTCTGATCACATCTTGAGTTCTCTTGGAAGCTACCTCGTCCGTCTGTTGCCTTACAAACAATGTTGGATGGACAGGTGCACCATCGTGCCCATGATATCTCAGTTACGTGGGTTCTATATCAAGACGAGCTTTGCCTCGCTGGAGCGGTTCATGACGGTCGGCCCTTTTGAGTATGAGCAACTGCTAAACTTGCAGACCGCAGCAGCCATCACGGCCCAAGCTCCCGTCCTCACACACAACCTCGTAACACTGATGAAAACCGGTCAAGTTGGTAAGGCTATATACGATGGGTACACCTCTTGTCCATTATTCATATCCCGTGGAGAATTATTATTGGCAGAGTTCAAATATGGTTTAGAGAGGAAAGAGACTTTTGGAAGGTTTATCGATCAGAGTGTTCCTAATCGGTAAGTTCTTCCATATTTTCATCCTTCTCACCTTTTCACCTTTTCACCTTTTAACACCTTTGTCCTATCATGTCTCTTGCATCCCCTCATTCAGTTTATCTACGTTACAAGTGTTAACCCCCAGCGCGTTTTATCACCTCACAAAAGATATAATCCCACATTTCTATTTTTCCCGAATGACAAAAGGAGAATGGTATGGTCCTAGAGGATTGTTTCCCCCTCAGTTCTCATAATCTTTTGTGTTTATTTCCCACGTTATCATTTAGAAAAAATACAAACATCTTGATATTACAAAATCGACACTTCCTATCCGATCCAAATCTATAGAATATTCAAAGATTGTACTTTGTCTTTCTGTCATTTTTAACTTGTCACCTGTCACTTGTCACTTGTCTGTCACCTGTCAGTGTCACCTCTGTAGTGTCAGAAATCACTTCTTGCTATGCATGTCTTTTCTTTGACAAATATGATACATGATCATTTCTATACATTTCCAACTATGGTCTGATGTCGTCTAAGAAGTACCTTTACGAACATTACGAACAGGTGGAGTACCCGATCTACTCTTCTCCCCTGGGTTAGACCAAGAAGTAGGTGATAAAGGTGGGAAATCCCCATCTACCATCGCACCCTGCCCTCTCTCCTGTCCGTGCCCTTTATGATGTGTTGAGTTTTGTACTTCATTGTGTGTTTGATGGTGGGACACATTCGGACCGTATACCTTCGCCGTACGATCGTGCACATTCCCCTGTGATCGATCCATATGAGCTCCATGAGAAGTGGTCAGACTCGATTGACTGGATTGAGAAAGATGAGAATGACTGGGTAAAATGGGAGAATGTCCTTTCATCTGGGTGGGTTTCACCATCGGAGTAGTGCTAGCAGTTCTGGTGGATATGGGTGATGATTTGGAAATGGTTGGGGAAGATGTGATTCCCACGAGTGAAGAAGTAGGACTGAGAACTGCTCTAGTGACTATGCTGGCTAGACTGGGTGGTACTGGACCGGGAACGTTTTGAGTGTTTGAGAGTGAAAGAGAAGTGTGAGAAGGATAAGAGGGGAGTGACAGCGATCCATGAGCTGCGTGAGGAGACGGTGTCGAATGAGAATGATGAGGATGTGATGATAGAGGTGGGAAATTAGGTGTGGATAGGATTGTAGGTGAAGATTTCTGACTGTTGACCAGCTGTTGTTGTTGTTGTTGCTGCTGTTGCTGCTGTTCAACCACAGAAGGAGGAGGTCGGAAGGTCGGTTGAGGAGTAGGATGTACAACGTCTTTTTTCAACAAATTCGAAGAACTTCCACTAGGAAGATATATACGATGTTGAAGTTGTAATGGCATCAAAGTGGTATGATGTTGTTGTTCGTAATTCGTCCCAGGTTGAAAGGGAGGGGCAGTGACATTCACTCCTGTACCCGGTGTTGTCCTACCGTGTGTATGAGTTGAAGAAGTGAGTGAGTTGGAAGTTGATGTGTTGGATGTTTGTCCTGGTGCGACGGATGTGGTTCTGAAAGAACCGATGGACGTCGGCGATGGTTGAGAGGGATAGATAGTGTTTGAAAAAGTAGGACTGAGTTGATTCGTTGGCGTTCCTCCTGAACCCACTCCCACTCCCACTCCCGGTCCAACGTTTGATCTTTGTATCGCAGCTGCACTGGTCGCAGATGCAGAGAGATGTCGAATGGGATGTATCACACCTCGAGGTTGAACATGTAAATTTGACATTGAAGAATGTGTTGTTAAACTTCGATTTGATTGAAGTGTATATTCAGCAGTAGGGACGTTTGTATACTCTTCCCATCTAGGCCAATAGGCTTGTATCCTCCTCTGTCGATCTTCTTCAATCTTACGTTCCACCTCTTCCCTTTGACGTTCAATCTCATCGGTTTTCTTCTCCAACTCTACACTTTCCAACTCTTTCTTCTCCTTTTTCGCTTTCAACTTTTCCACCCTCCCTACGACCTCTTGTAACCTTTTGTCCTCCTCGGCTCTGGCTTTTCGATCACTCTCTCTTACTGACTCTTCATGTATCCTCACAGTTTCCCATTGTTTTCTCACCTCGGCTAGATCAAGTTCCGCAGAAGAAAGTCTTTCCTTTAACTGCGTCATTCCACTTTCAACCATCTGAGATTCTTTCTCCGCAGTCTCAGCACCAGCCCATCCTTGTTTGACCTGTTCTTGTAGAGCCAAAACCTTTTGCTTCGAACGCATGTCCAATGCGGAAGCTTTTTCGATAGCACGACGAATGGTATCAACTTCCATCCTTAGAGCGGCATCGGCTCTTTGGTTAGCTCGACGAGCTTCTTTCAATGACACGTGGAGATGTTCTTTCTCAGCGTGAGCAGCCGCGAGAGCCTGACGGAGATGTGCCACTTGAGCGTCGACGGGGCTGAGGACAGGAATTGGGGTTGAGACTTCGGGTGGGGAAGGTGAATCGGTGGCCAAGAAATTGGGGATGGTATGCAGAGGTGCTGGAGTCGGTGTATGAGGCTGGGTGGATGGAGTGTTGAGTGAGTTGGACCTAGATCGAGTATTGGATCTTGACCGAAGGGAATTTGCTCTAGAACGGGAGTTAGATGTGAGATGTAGAGGGTTGGATAATGGTGAGGGAGGGATTACTACAGTGTTTGACACTGCTGTCAATGAGCGGTGTACTACTTCTTAGACATACTCCATGAACCAACCTACCTTGAGTATCCTCTGATTCCATCCCGACAACTCTCAACTCTATCTCATACTCTTTGCCAGGTGTCAAACCATAGACAACGACGATAGCTCTATCTTTATCTCTATCGTTTCCCTGTCGAATACCGGTACCCCTTCTTTTCCTTCTCTCCTCCCCTCCATCACCCGGTCGAGCACCACTGACCACAAACCTCGCTCTTCTAGGTCGACGACGATGTACACCACTGCCACCCAAACCTTCTTCCATCCCTTCCCCATGTTCATTCCTTTGACCCACCCATTCTCCTTCTTCCCACTCTTCCTCTTGCCCTTGATGTTCATCATGATCCTCTTCATCTTCCGAATCACCGACGTGAGCGACGATCCGACTCCAAGGTTGTCCGTTGACGGCTACCACGACACCATGTGACAACAAGTCTTTGAATGATTCTCCATGTAAGACATCTGTAGGCCATGATCCTGGCACAGGTTGGGGAAGATGATATGAGTCATCGTCGTCGTTCTCGACCGCGGTGTCTGGGTCTGACTCTCCGGGAAGGAGGGGGAAGGGTCGACGACGCCGTCGTTTCTTCTTACCCTGGGGGTTGACGGGAGGTGGAGGAGGAGGAGCGAGAGTGAGGGATAGTGTGAGTGCCAGAGGGGTGAGCTCTAGCAGTGATAGTGATAGTGGACGAGTGGACGGGGATATAGTATGCCATAGCATAATGCTAAGGTAGTGGTGGTAGTGGTTGTAGTAGAGTAGGCTACGATAGTGGGCGAGGTGGTGAACCACGTGAGTGCCACGCTGCGGGGTCCCACCCACCGTCACCCCCGTCTCGGAGTTTCTCGGTAATATACATATGAGTTGTGGTGGCAGTACAATCAACCCCCGTCAGTTATATAAGTAGTTAGTCACCCTTCTTCCCCATCATCACTTGTTCCCCAAACTGAACTTATTTCTCTCCCCCACCTCTTCCTCCCCAAACTTGCCCATCACGTCTTCCCTTGCCCATCACGTCTTCCCTTCCCCACCACCTCTTCCCTTCCCCATCATACTTTGTCTCCCGTCATGGCTCATCCGTCTTGTCAAGTTGCCTCCACTCCCTCTGACCGTTCTCGCGACCATCTCATTCTTACCCCCCCTGAAACCCCCCCCACGTCCAGCACTCGCACCTTTTCGTCCTTCCTACAATCTTACAGTCTTGACTTTGACAAGATTTGTGATAGACTGAACGATGGTGATGTTTTTTATGCTCTCATGCGCAATCCGGATCGCCCCGAGGAGTGGTACAATATCTCTTTCTGCACCGCTTTGATGGGTTGTTTTCGGCTTGCTCGCCATCTGGTTGGATTCGAGGACTGGTGGCTCCACACAAACGTCAATTTGGGTCGGTATGCGTCTAGGGGAGCAGTCTCCTACCAGGTCACTCCGCTTCAGGTCAACATTCGTACTCTCCGTTTTGCGTCGGGGGATCTCAAGGGTACGTCCACATCCACTGATATCATCTACTCCGTCACTTGTCACTGAGTTGCGCTGATGCACATCAGGTAGATCGACTGCCGGCTCTCAGAAGCCGAAAGGCGAGTCTTTGACTATCTCCCCTATGCAGACGCTGACTCCAAAGCCAAAACCGCAGCTGCCAGTCTCTGTGTTCCGGCCAAAGGAGACGATGAAGAGACCTTGAGCGGCCCTTCGTCTACCTCGAATGGCATTCTCAAGCCAGACTTCGTCCTGGGCGTGCGGGCGGACCAGAACATCGCAGCGGTAGCCATGACCGGCGAACACAAGACCGACCCCACTGACCGGGTGAGTGAAAGATAACGCTGTCATCGATTGCCACCAGAGACAGAAAGGGGCTGACGCTCAGCCGGTAGGTCTCATCAGGTCCGGCCTGGCACAGGCCCTGATTCAAGTCTTGAGCTCCTTCACTGCATTCGGGACGTACCTCGCATATTTCTCCATCAACATCTCTTTCGTTCGGGTTCTCGTCCTTGACGAACAGGTCATCGTCATGGAAGCGTCTTCTTGTGTCCGGTCGCATTTTCTGTCCTCTTCCCCGGAGGGAGCTTCCGGCCCTCACGATAACGTCCAACGGAGCGAGAGTTGTGTGGATGTTTCCGTCAGCAATATTCCCATTATCAGCACCGAGCAGCTCTTCTCCGCGCCCAACGATATCGTCAAGCGGATCGTCCCCCACCGCTTCTGTGCGGAGGAAGCGCCGTATGATATCAATCGGGAAGGTCTGTACGCCTTCTTCCGGATGTTCAGACTAGGAGCAGACATCCTTTTACAACATGATCTTTCATGTCCGCGCATCGATTTCGACGCTTCCTCGCGTGATCGGGTCCTGGTACGATTGTCCGGGGTGATGGGAGTACGTCCCCATTATACCGACTTGGCGCAGTTCTGGAACAAGAGGGGAGGCATCAAGCGGTACTTGACGGCTCATAGGGAGGCTCGCGCGGCAGATCAGGCCACGTCTGTAGAGGAGACATTGGCGACCATGATGCAAGCGGCAAATCTGGGCCCTCCTCGAGGCGCAGATCTCGGGTCTGGACCAGGTCGAGGCGAGAGTTCATCCAAGCCGTCCAACCCACACTGCGGTACTACGGGAGCAGAGTCATTGGCGTTGGAAGGGAAGGGACCAGCGGAGGAAGCGCCGACAGGGGCAGATGTAGGAGAGAGTCTGTCGGACAAAGTAATAGTGCCAGAGTTGTGGGACGGCCAAGCCATTTCTGAAGAGAGCGAGCTGAGCGCTTTGTCCGTTAGGCGTTTACTCGTTGTCTCGGGGAAGGATGAAGCCGTGCCAAGCTTGGGTGAGTTACGTTTGGCCCTCGGCCGCTTGTGAAATGCCGTTCGGTGTCGCTGACGGATGATGCAGGGCTACCGAATCCTCACGAAGAAACAGTGGATGCAGTCAGTTTGACTCCTACGCTTATCCCGTCTGGCACGCCGAGTGAGTGTCGGTCTCGTTACAATCTGGAGAGCCGCTGACTGGACAGAGACTCTCTCTTCCCTCTGGAGCACTGATACCGAAGCTTTATTCCAATCGTTGTACCGCGCCAACGTGACACTCGTCCTCGTCGACCCTTCTACCATGGACGAACTACTCGACGTAGCAAAACCTCGGGCAGTATCGTTGTCTGGCAAATGACCGAATCCTCACCCTAGTAAAAGTTGGTCGTGGGAGAGAATGCCAGGAGCATCTGGTATGAACGCGCCTCTCAGATGGTGATAATCAGTACCTTCAGTGACTGATCGGATGCAAACATGTTAGATAGTGATGATCAGTACTCAAATCACACGTCACGTAAGGACCCCGAAACTCTTGTAGACGCCTCTTCATAGCTTTAGATGCAACTCTCATCCCCAACAGATTAACAGTCGGAGTAGCATTCTCCTCTCACACATAGATACACTGAGAGTTCAGCAATCCACACTTGACATATACCTAGCAACACGGCCCCTGTAGGGTTCCCCCTTGGCCACGATTATCAACACATCGGAACCGCTGGATATTGGACGGAACCGTTAGATATTGGTCGGAACGCTGGAAACGTCAGAAACGCTGGAAAATCACGGAACGCTGGAATTCAGACATACACGGGTTTATCGAGACGACCGTGAGTAGAAAGTGGACGCTTGGAAGCCTCAACAACACACATCCCTTCGATAAAATCCTCCTCTGATCCACCCATCAATTATTCCGTCACATCCCTTCTGTCTCACTTCATCTATTCATCGTAACATACACATAAAGAGTCATCACGCATCCCATTCCTAGTCAACCCTCGCTAGGGCCATTTCTTGGGCACTTTCCGGCTGTGAGTCTCAACACCTTCGAGTCTCTACACCCTCAAGTGTCCATCAAAGCACAAGCCTCTTGCCACGTCATCACATTCCTTTACCGTACATCACTCATTGCTCCACGTCCTGTCTTTGACAGAGTAAATTTGGTAACACTCTTGACACTGACTGCAAAGCCTACCAGCTGCGTAGGTTCCGGGACATCTGCTCGACTCTCCATACCACATTCCTCTGCGCACAAGCACGTTTAAACACCTCTGCAGCGCCTCCATCCGCCAAAGCAAGTTTGAACACCTCTGCGGCAAGACATGTCTCGCACAAGCACGTTTAAAGAATCACCTCTGCAGCGACAAAACCCCTCTCGCACACGCACGTTCAAATAATCACCTCTGCAGCGACATTGCACGATGTCAAATAACGACGACCTCTCTGCTCTTTCCAAGTTGATCCCGACTTGAACAGGGACAGAAACCTTTGTTCGTTGGTGCCGAGGTGTACATAACTACCTCTCTGATAAAGGTGCTCAAGGTCATCTCAGCGGCCTTGAGCCCGAGCCTTTCAGACGACTTGTAAATCCGGCAGTGCCGACAGATCATTCCGTTGTCTTTCCCCCGAATACCATTGCAGGGGAGGCTCCCCCAGACGCCACAAATTCGACAACAGCTGTAGCTTTGACAGCTACTCAACGTACCACCTGGCTAGATTGGGCCAACAAAGAGCGTAAAGCTCGTTCAACACTCATTTTCACAATCTCTCCGGGACTAGCCACCCAAGTCGAGGACCTCTGGTCAGCCCAAGAAATCTGGGCGCGTATTACTGCGCAGCATCAAGTTAAAACGACAGAGAGGCGTAATGATCTCAATCAACGTATTTCCCTCCTTCGTCTAGTTGAAAATGCCAACGTCGACACCATGCACGCTCACCTCGAGACCTTTAGTGAGTTAGTGTCACAAGGATGCTTCTTCGTTAACTTCTTACGACCGACGGCCAATGACTTCGTGGGTTTCGACCTTTACCAACTTCGTTGTTCGAGATATGAAATAGGTGACAATAACTTCTGGGTGTAATAACTTCGTACTTTACTAACTTCTATCACTAAGACAACAACCAGAGATCGTCAAAGATCTCTGGGAACTTCGGCCCTTAAGTACTTCGTCCTTCCCTAACTTCTTCAACGCAGAACTTTGTTCAACCCGAAGTCCCGAGCTTCGTACCTCGCGAACTTCGTCCCCGACGAAGTTCGTGCCTCCCTAACTTCATATCTCGCTAACTTCGCATCTCCCTAACTTTGTATCTCCCTGACTTCCTACATGACTAACTTCGCCCTCGACGAAGTTAGCCTCCTAATACCTTCGTGGGTGATGAAGTTCATGAGAACTGGATCGTTGATGGCGAACTGATGTCCAAAGGAACCTTGTTGATGGGGAAAGATGCGGCACCGCGTGACAGTTAGTAGCCGAGGCTCTTGGTGCAGGTGCCCATATAGATGATGGTGATCGTTCCGAAAGATTTCTTCTTGTCACGGAGTACGTCGTAACATCCCTGACAACCGCCATCACCGACCCTCCTTTCACCATCACCAACCTCCACTCGAACCACTGAGACGGACTACGGCGAAGTTACGAGAACCAAGGGGGTATTATTTGTCACGATAACCCCGCCTAGCGGACAACTACAGGGAAGTTAGGGGAAGGGAACCGAGGGAGAGCAGAGCAGAGGAAGTTAGGAGAAGTTAGTCGAAGTGAGTGGAGTAGGACATCCGGGATATGGCGAGGTACGGCGAAGTTGAACGAAGAGGACTGAGCGTGAGGCAGTGCAGGAGTTGAGGGACGTTCTATGAGAAGAGAGGAGTAGTATAGATAGTTTACAGATCGCTGAACTTCTTCAGTGATCCTTGATTGTTGTCAGTAGTGAAAGACAGATAGAGATAGTGTTACGGAGTAACAACGAATCGAGAGGACTCTATCGAGTTCGACGGATTAGGACAGAGGAAAGCGGGAGTTGGAGGCAGTGCTGCAGTAGGTAGGGACGGGGTTTCCCCTTTCGAGATTTCCCCACTGGGTTTGCTCAAAGCGGTTTTTCACCTGTCCGAGTATGTACGTAGACGCTTGCAGCAGGAAGGAGACGAGGACAAGGATAGCCGTAGACAGTATATAGTACAATCAGCAAAGTACCAACTTTGCTGATTCTTCAATATCATTCTTTGGCTACATCGATTGCAGAGGAGACACGATCCATTAGCACCAGAGCCCCTAGATTTCCACGAGACATCCATCGAGTTCGACCCAACCTGCGACCTAGTCGTCGTGTTTCCAGTACCGTTACAGATAGCTATATACAAATCGAGATACATCGCCATCAGTAGAACAAGACCCCAGTTAGAGTAACTATGCCGAAGTACGCCGTGGTTACAATCCTTTCGACGTCTGCGCCCTCCTGGTTGGGTGAGACATTGACTTAGAAGCGCCAAGTTAGCCCAGGTTTGTCGACCGTCGGTCAGTTGGAAGGTAGTTGTTCGACGGCCGTGACACTTCTCTCTCTTGGTTGCAACTTTGCTCCACTTCGTCAACAGTGGGACCTCTGACCAGACACACAGAAAAGCTGGAACCATCTCGTAACCGCGTACCACAGTATTGCCGACACCCGCCGTCTTGAGCAAGAAATGGAGAACCATACTCAACAAGCCATCAGTGCTGTTCTCGTAAATAAAGATGCTATCAAGAAGGATAAGGGGAGATCAGGTAGTAGGGTAGGAAAAGGTAGAGGTAATGGTGCTGGTAGTGAACATGGAGGTAACAAGGAGAAGGAGAAGGGACAAGGAAAGACGAGGAAAGAAGGAAAACATGGGAAGGACGAGAGTGACAGTGAAGAAGACGAAGAGTGTGATTGGTGTGGTAAATACGGACATAGTGTGGAAGACTGTCGCATTAAGAAACGCTGAGATCTATCCAAGAGTCAATTACAGGAAGCCATTAAAGAATACCGATCAAAACACCAAGTCAATGTCATGAGAGACGAGTCGCCAGAACCCATAGTCTTTGGTAATCTTTCTTCGCTCCTATGAAAGCAACTTAGTACGGATTAAGGGGAGTGTTAGATAGTGATAATCAGTACCTAAATCACACATCACGTAAGGACCCCGAAACTCTTGTAGACGCCTCTTCATAGCTTTAGATGCAACTCTCATCCCCACCACAAACCCCACTCTGCGGAGCCCCACGTTGATTTAAACTCTATCAACAAGCTCCATCCCATCCTCATCACTGCAGTTCTTCTCTTGTTTGTCACCGTCAAATCCTCGCCACTCGTCAACAGTCATGTCGCTACTCGGTCAAATCACACATTGGATTGTCTACCAGACCAAGTTTCTCTCGCCGCTCACTCTTCCCCTCCCCTCGCCCCTCTTCCGACCCGTCGGCCCTCTCGCCAATATCATCAACCACATCACCTCGACGCCGGTGCATGAAACATACTTTCCCTTTCTCCGTTTTGGTGTCATCCATGCTGCTCGAGTCACCACCGTCTTCTCCGCTCTCAAGCAAGCGTCATCAACGGGACCAAGTGCGGGAGGGCTTCAGGATCTGATCGCATATCTCACTTTGGCTTGTGAGTTCATATACCTGTCACACTTATCACCAATGTATTAAGTTACTGCATTCCTTCCATCACCCTCACTGGTTCGAAACAACCTCGCTGACAACCAGGGGGAGGAGGTACCACCATCTCCCTTCTTCTCTCAGAACCTCCCTCCTGGCTACTCTCCCCCGCCCCTTGGATCATTTACGTCCCCATATATCTCCTCCTCGTCCCTACCGGTCTCTCTCAGTACATTGTCATCACATGTCCTCCTCTCATCTTGTCACTCGTTGGGGCATACATCGACGGTCTTACACGTGGCACGACAATCTCTTCTTTACCTCCCGCCCTCCCCTCTGAAGTGACACTATGGACTCAAGTCCTCCTCTCTGGCATCGCCATCGTCTCCGGAGGTTTCATCTTTCAACTCCTCGGCATGCACAAACGTACATGGCAACTCACCACTCCTTCGATTCTCCTCGGAGGGATATGGGCGACGTTGGAATTGTGGGGCGGGATGTTAGTTGGGTTGACGTATGCCGCTCTCATGCGGACACACGAAGACGTAGCATGGTTGGGGGACCTTTTCTCGCTGGCACTACCTCGAGAATTGCAGAGTGGATTCAAAGCGGAGGGCAAGTTGGGAAGCGTGGTGGATCACGATACTGCACGTGCACTCTGCGTACTGCTTTTCGGATCTTTGTTGGCTTTACGTGTCGTCGTCACCACTTTCCTTTACTCGTCAAAGTCACACGAGAGGGCGAAAATTGTCGCTCACTCGGCCAAGACGAAGAAAGAACCAGTGGTGGAGATTGAGACGCGTAAAAGGGATTTGCTGGAGTCAACCATGCTTGAGGGAAGTGTCGAAGGAGAGAAAGCAGAGGTGATCAAGAGTCCTAATTCTCGAGGATCAACATCGGGGTCGAAAAGTCGCGCAAGGACACCGAGGAAGAGTCCCAGGTTGAGATAGACCTCTGTGATGGGAGAATGTTCAACATTGTTGGGAGAGGGTCTTATTCGGTGTCATCTCCGCGTAATCTGTACTAATCAAAGTCATCTGGATCGGGAAAATGGGGTTTCCGGTGTCATAATGGAGGTACAATGGATAGATGGCGTGTGTTTATCACTGAGCGGGTACTTTACTCTCCGACTGCTTCGTCACTGACACCACGTGGATTGGTAAGCTGATTTCTCACGTTTCGACGTTACGCAAGGACATGCCGTGTTGCCCTCGAGGACGAGCCAAGAGATCATCGAGACCCGTCTAACTACACATCCCCATCAGATACCTGAAACGCTTACGAGTGCCAGTTTTGGAATCTCACTACAAGCCGTTTCGCTGTAGACCGTACGGTCAAGTGGAGAGTCTCGCTGTGTCCAACCTCACATTTAAGCCCACCCACCCCGAGGTCCCCGACTGCGTGACACGCTGGCCAAACCATTATCTCACTCGCCAACTGCCAAGCCAGCAAACATAATAACCCCTCAAGACTTTTGCCCTCGTATTCCAGATCCCGCGATGCTCGACGCGCATCGGAGATTTCGATAAACTTGATATTCAGGGTTTCTTACCGACAACTTCCGCCCGCTACTTCTTCCCGTGGTCCGAGGCGCGTTCCTGCCATTTATTCGATATACCTCATCCGGTCGACTCGCCATCCGGTACGTGCCAGGTACACGAAAGAATAATTCTTGAAAGTACCTGATGGCTGGTGAACAAAGTCAGACGCGTTATACGTGCAAAAGTCTTTTCTTTTCAAAAGATGCATGTATTCTTTTTCCTTTTCGTATTTCGACATTCAACTCTTTCTCGACCAACCGTTCATCTTCTTGACATTCCTCTTTGAATTCTTGAGCCAGGTGCTCGTTAGCCTCGACGGCGTAAATCACACTCCTTGACCTGGTGTCTTTCGAACTAGAACTTGTCTTCTTTCGACGTATCTTCCACTGCCCCTGCCGTCGTCCGACTTTCTCGCGGCATTCGTGTTTTTGCGGATATCTTGTGTGTTTGGTGACTCGAAGAAGACATTGGGACTATCATGATCCCTCTCACCAAACTAGGTTTAGTAGTGACGGCCGCTCTGGCGTTGAACGCGGAGAGCAAACCTCTCGCCCCTCCTGGTCATCACGCTGCTCCCGGGGTAGCCAATTTGCTGGCTGGTTCCAAGCGAGGTATACATGCTTTGATAGCGAGGTATTATGGTACTTCTCATGGTCTGGTGAGTGGACATCTTGCGCTATTCCTTCTCACTCGCCTCTCACCATCACTCCTATCCCGGCTTGTTATCTACTTTGTCTCTTGGTCTAGCAAGGACTCGTCCTTCGTTCTTCCCTCGCCTTCTCCCCGTCCATCCCTTTCCCCCCTCCATCTTCTATCTAATCGGCCTTTTCAAACCGTGGTGTTGATTATGAAGTGTTGTGGAGCGGCCTAGACCGTCTCGTCTCCTACTAAACTTCGAGCTAACTCCCAGGCAAAACCTCCCCCTTTACCCAACAAACGTGACACTTCCTTTCCACCCGGATGGAGCTACCAAGCCTGCGTTGACGAATCATGGGACGAACGACTCCTTCAAGGATTCTCATTTTCATCATCCGTCCTCACACCTCTTCAATGTATGACCGAATGTGGTAAACGTAATTTCACCTACGCCGGTACTGAATACGGTGACGAATGTTACTGCGGTAACGAATTCATCGGTTCTGGTGGAATACCTGGTGAAGATAGTGCATGTAATTTACCATGTTGGGGTGATAAAGATGAAACTTGTGGAAACGCATGGTTTTTAACTTTATATCAATATAATTCTTCTGGTTTAGTAACTACTTGTACAACTTATCCTTCATCTGGATCCGATTCAAACTCTACGACGATCAGTGATCCTACTGGAATCACCAACACTTCTTCTAATTCTTCCATCACTTCCACCCCGACTTCCATTTTCACCACTGCGACAACGACTTCAATCGGAGGAGCAAGTACTACGGGAATGTATGAAGATACGATCGATTCTTCCGAATGGTACGCTTTAGGTTGTGCGTTAGATGGGGATAACAGGATTATATCGGATTATATCCTTACAGGTCAAACAAACCTCACGGTCGATTCTTGTCTCACAACATGTGAAGATAAAGGTTTCACTTACGCGGGTGTTGAATTTGGAGAAGAATGTTATTGTGGAAATAAGCTACCAACTTCTTTGAATTATAAAGATGGAGGATGTACCGTGGTGTGCACTGGAAACTCGGGAGAGATGTGTGGAGGAGAATGGACTTTGGATTTATACGAATTAGTTTCAGGTTCGACTTCTTGTAATTCGACACCTTCAGCGACCACTTCTTTACAAGCTGGTGGGGCATGGGCTGTACCTACTGGATATTCCACTACCTCCACTTCATCTTCGTCTTCTACAACATCAACCTTTGCAACCGGAACCTCTGTGGTATCTTCCACCACGGAAGTCTCTACCGGAACAACTACCTCCCTTTCCACCGGCACGGGCACTGGCACGGGCACTGGCAGCTCCCCCACCACAGTTCCAAGTTCTTCCACCACTCACCAAGTATGGGCACATCACATGGTCGGTAACACATACCCCTACACTGAATCATCTTGGTCATCCGACATTCAATCCGCTTCTTCTTCCGGTATCGACGGGTTCGCTCTCAACATGGGATCCGATTCATGGCAACCATCTCGAGTTTCAGATGCTTACTCCGCCGCTGAATCTTTCGGAAACTTTAAAATGTTCTTATCACTCGATATGACTTCTTTACCATGTTCATCAATTTCCGACGCATCTAACCTGGTTTCTCTCGTCAAACAATTCGCTTCAAGTTCAGCTCAAGCCACACACGAAGGTAAAGTTTTAGTATCCACTTTCGCAGGATCTGATTGTACTTTCGGAGGAGGAGATTGGATGACATCATTCGTTCAACCATTAAAATCATCAGGTGTTGAAATATTCTTCGTACCTTCTTTATTCGTTCCGATATCAACATTCGCTTCTGAAACATATATGGATGGAGAACTTAATTGGAATTCAGCATGGCCAATGGGTGACGTCGATCTTTCCGTTTCAAACACCGATTCGGAATATATCACAGCTTTAGGTGTAAAAGAATATATGCCAGCTATATCACCTTTCTTTTACACACATTTCGGTTCGAACAGTTGGAATAAAAATTGGTTATACCGTTCAGATGATTGGTTATATTGCGAAAGATGGGAACAAGTCATTTCTTTACGTGATAAAGTTTCAATGACCGAATTACTCACTTGGAACGATTATGGTGAATCTTCTTATATAGGTCCTATTGAAGGTGCTCTACCATCAGGATCGGAAGTTTGGGTAGATGGATTCGATCATACGGCTTTATCAAGTCTAACCAAATATTATTCGACAGCTTTCAAAACAGGTCAATATCCGGATATATCACAAGATGAAATCATACTTTGGTCTAGACCTCATCCACATGATGCTACGGCTACTGGAGATGGGGTTGGGAGACCTGAAGGATGGCAAAATACGGAAGATTATTTATACGCTGTTGTTCTTGCTACAGAAGCTGGACAAGCGAGTTTAACTTCTGGAAGTCAAACCACAAGTTTCGACGTGAAGAAAGGTTTGAACAAATTAAAAGTCGTTTCGAACCAAGGAGGGATAGGCGGAAGTTTGTCAAGGAATGGAAAGACAGTGGTGGATTATACTGCTCAAGGGTTTACTTATACCTCTAGCCCACAGACGTATAATTATAACTATTTCGTCGGATCGAGCTAGGAAAATGGAGGGGAATCGTAAGATGACGGGATGACTGGAATCCCTTGGGTCGCTACTTGATTGGATTTGTCACATCTCTCATCCATCACCTTCATCTTGTCAAAGCTCTCTGATGAAACAGGATTTTTGTTTAGATCTCATACGTGCTGGCGCGGACATTTGATATCTCACACTCCTTCTCTACATACTTCACCTTTTCGTTTCTCCTTCATGTCTTTCAAGTTGGGTTCATGCATTTATGGCAATTTTATAAAATTCCTTTAGCTCGTTGTATCAGTATCATTCTTTCCCTGCCAGCTTCCGCGTTCACATGATGCACGAGGTTAAAATGAGCGAGCAAGCGACCACAAATGACCTTTCCGTGTGGACCACTTTCTTCACCTGATTTCTTCCTACAACTGTTTGACCTTGCCTCTGCCTCTTCAGGGGTTATTCGTCAGTCGGAGAAAGACGGGGAAGAAAAACTATCGCATACATACATGCTGAATGAGACAACCATGTGATAAGAGATACAACAATGGCAATTGTGTGCATGTCGACCGGTCGCTCAATGACAATTCTCCCTCGTCCAAAGTACCAAACCCTTGATTTCTTCCCACTGCTTTTCCCTCAATTTGACCTCTTCGGATGATCCTGAACCGGCGTGAACCTCACAGGCGTCAACGAACGATTTGGCGGTGGTGATGGAAGGTATTAAAGGGTGTGAGACGCGGGACCACCAACTGAGTGTAAGCGAACTCTTACCCTCATTGCCTCATTACTTCTGACTGCATGTTATGCAAGTGCATTTGTGTCTGGCTGGGAATGAAGGCTTCAGCAGCTGACGGTCTGATTTTTGAACGGTCATCCGTGGATGAAGGGAAGGAAACGGTTCACAGATGAGGCTAACGACAGACATCTTTGAGGGAGGGGGAACAGTAAGAGTAATGGAATTTGATCGGAACGGATACACAGAGAATGTAATTGAAGATCGTATAGTTCGGGAAGGAGGACAGTGGATTGGGAGAGACGTGTCCAACTGACTATTTAGAGTTCCCATAATCACCTATTATCAATCCTCAGCATCATGGTAAAATCGCGTTACTCACCTTCTCTTCTGTGCAATGTAGCATGTAACAAATCAGCCGTCGGGTCCTAATTTCACTCGTCAGCATCACGGTGTGGCAGACCCAACCAGTCTCCACCTCAACGATCGTCTCCGTCTCTCCTATGCCGCATTTCAACAACAACGCCACGATTCCGAGAGCAGATGGGAGAGAAGAATAGGAAATGATGAATGGGTAAAAGGAAAATACTCACACCCTCGTTATCCTGTGAGATCAGGTGACAGTTGTGTATATCGTCATTGGCCAGATGAAGAGCTGTGAGTCAGCAACCATCATCATCAATACGAGCGAGTCTTCCACAAAGGCCCGGATATGATAAACGAGGGTAATTTTACTCTTATTGCTGAAACTGATTTGACTGATTGATTGAATGAATGACAAGGTAGACTACCCGATATCACCCCTTCGATTCATTCTCCTTCATCTCATTCTCCTTCATCTCATTCTCTTATATTTTAGGATCGGAATAGACGATAGGTTGCGGACCACGTTGGATGGAGAAGACGTGAGGAGAGTGAACCGGGATCACTCACCAGCAATGACAAATCTATGCTCTTTCAACCCCTTGATCTTACCCGTCAAACCATCGCTCCACACCTTGTCGCCCGGCTCGAGAGGAGGGAGATCCCTCTTGAACAACACCAGTACGATCTCGTCCGTCGTCGACATGACTCGCCTCGGGGGTGCACCAAGGTAGTTCGATACTGCTTGTGAACGTGGGCTATGCAGTCTGATGATTGTCTGTAGCAGGTTGATACAAGTGTGTGTTGTTATAACATGTTTACATATGTATGTGGAAAGTCGTGTGTCATAGTGTGATGATGAATGTGGCAGTGTGGCGATTAGGTGGTTAATCATGTAACACACACCCAGCCCTAGCAAGTACCAGGTAGCTACTATCAATTTATATCTTCCCTACCAATTTGACCATTGACACACACCTAAGACAGTACTCATACATCAGCATCAGCAAGCAGGGTGAACGTTTGCGCATACATTATTCACCACATCCATCTGGATAACCTTGCCCCCACGTGACTCCCAACCAAATATGAACCCAAACTTTATACATCACAACCCGGCTACACTACAATGACTAACACAAAGCAGGTGAAAAACCTCTTGCGGGTTGAAACCTACGCAGAGGAAAACCCATTCCGCGCAAGCTGCAGTGACTTGAATATGGACCCATCCTGATTTCAACCATACTCTTTAGCGTGTGATGTCCGTCATGTCATGGATCTTACTCCTCAGCGTCATCACACAGTGAAGGTCAATCGAGAGATGATCTTGCCGGTTTCGTGAGGATTGGCACTTTGACTGGCATGTAAACTGACAGTTCCATCAAGGCCGTGACCCTCAAGCTGGACAAGAACCTCAATGGATGGCAGGCCCCCCTGAAATCCAGGCGGTAAGAGATGACGAAGCGTTGTGATGCCTCGCACGTACAAAGAGATAACCTGCTGTGCCAGGACCGGGCGTGAACGAGTCCCCGACAACCATCGAACAAGTTCATTGGTGCATCGATCCTGCTCATCATCCCGTCTTGTTTTATCAAATGTAAGCTCTTGTGATGCCAGGTAGTCCTGCCAATTTTCCAATTCTCCCTTTACTACCTCCCGAAAGGCGTCATGTAAAACCGCGCCAGAGACCAACCTGATGGAGCGATGTGAGCCCGCGGTAGGGATCTCCAGGACCGGCACTGAGAGACCTCTGAGATAGTATCTCACCTCTTCAATGGATGCAGATATCATGGACACAGGGTCGCCGCTAAGTCTGAGCTGTGGAATTCGGGCCGAAGGTGACCGGACGTCACGCGGTCGGGTTCCGTCGACCACAGTGATTCGTCATGCTTGACCAGACGAGTTGTAGACGGTCATCATGGGCGTTTGAAACGGGTGTGACAGCGTGGCAGGGTCAGACATCCGTGTGGATATGGTGGTATTGAATGATGAGAGGCACTCTGTCCATGGCCAGGATGACCTTGAGGCAAGGTGTACGTGTTCTGCCAACTTGAGTGGCTGCTCCCTCCAAACAGTAACGAGGCTTACAGGGGGAGTGTTGTTGGGTGAAACAACAAAAGCTGACTGGGAGCTGGTGGTGGATTATAGACGAAATCGTAGACGGATCCCGATTCATCAGACTCCACCCCATCCAGGGGCGTATGTAGAGTATTTGTATGTAGAGGATATAAGAGCGTAAGTGGAGGACCTTGGGGTGTACGTGGAGGAGTATTCGAAAACCACGTCACCTCAAGAATCAGAAGGTGAAGGTCAAAAGCTCTCCCCCCCCTTCCAGGGAGGTACTAATATAATTCTTAGTGGTTCAACAGAGTAAATTTCGGAGACTTTGCTCCCCTCCGTGTCCCCAATGGCGCGGGTACCCGGCCAGAAACTACAATGGATGACCTATAGAAACAGAGACAGAAAAACCAATTGGGTATGCAAGAAAGCCATGCACTAGAGAGGAGTGTGATAAGAGATTCACACCTTATCCAAATTCTCAGTATCCACATTGGGTGTTCATACCAGTCGTCAATATCTCCTAATCGGCCGAAACCTTCACAACTGCCCTCATCGCCATGGTGGTGGTCGAGGTTCATTGGGACAATCTTGGCGATTCCGTATGTAGAGCTCTTGTCCTGATTGTCAAGATGAAGGCCAGGGGAAGCTTCTACGTGTTGAGGTTCATGTCATAGTGATAAGCAGTGTCTCATACTGATCATCTTCCCCCTATGATTGCTTGTCATTGTATTTTGACACGCCACGCTTTCCTTTGATCACCCCTTCCAACCTCCTCATCATGCCGTCAATACTCCTGTCTATCACTTCCTAAGGCATCTCTCTCCACATTTCCTGTGTGACTTTGAACAATTTTGCCTTGTTTGTGGGACACTTAGAAAGCGGCCCATTCTTCTGTTAAAAAGAATACAGGCAGTTTTGCATGGGATCGAGGGCAGGTGAGGAGGGGGTTTGAGAAACATAGTGAAATTGATGCATCTTTGCAAGGTACATTGCCAGCCACAATCCTAGTGCCACTGTAGGCTCACCACTTATGGTTGACATCAGTCCAAGCCACTTGTAAAGAGTTACAGGGTAACAACAATTTGGAGCAGGTTCCATCAGACTCTACGGAACAGGATGGAGAAGGAAGGATGCGGGAAGGCAGTGCTGCAGAAGGAGATTTTCCCCACGGGGTTTTGCTCCAAGTGTTTTCTCACCTGTTGGAGTGTGTACATAGATAATTGCAGCAGTCAGAAAATGGACTGTGGGTACCTGTTGATAGTCTATTGCACTATCACCAGAGGACCAACTGCTGATTGTTCAATGTCCTTCTTTGGCTGTATTGATTGCAGAGGAGCCACAGGCCATCATCTGGCACCAGAGATACTCAGAGTTCCATTGGACTCCATCAAAGTCAACCCAACCTGCAACCAAGCCATAGTGTCTCCAGCAGTTTACACTGACCTGTGCAGCTTTAGAGCTATGCAGTTTTGTACCTGTGCAGCTCTGAAAAGTCATGAGTTTGGCCCTGCACAATTCAACTCGTCCATTTCTGAAGGTGCACGTCTTCTGTGCAGACCTAACATCTGGTAATTTTGTGTGAGTCCGTATGAAACCATAGAAATTCTTGCAAAAAGCCTGAAATTGCCTGAGTTAGCAGTCACGGCTATACTGAATTTTGAAAGCCCACTTTCTCCTGTGTGCCCCCTTTTGAGGGATCACTTTCTCCTCTGTGCCCCCTTTTGAAGGATCACAAAGTTGCAACCATCTGAACAGGCAAGCGGTAACGCTGCTACAAAGAACCTTCACCTTGGTAGTGCAAGAACTCATCTCACATCTAAGTAGAAGCCTGCTAAACAAAAGGAGCTACCAGGGCTCTTACACCTCATTGAATTTGAGCTGGCTATCCCCAACTCTTAGCGTCTACCACCCTAACCCTAAGCCTGATCATGGGGGTGACCCTGGTGTCAAACATCACCTACTTGCCACCTAAGATAGTCTTTTTCCATGTTCCCACACTTGAAACACATCTGGGACACTTACCCCTGACCCCCTTTGGCTTAGTTTATTGTTCTTGATATCCATCAACAATCCCTATTGTTATCTCTTACACTCCCACACATGAAACACCTACCCCTGAACCCCTGTGCCCTTCACCTGTTGTTCCCCTTTGTGTTCACATGCTTGACACACTTACCCCTGGACTCCTGTGTCCTCTGGCTATTGTTCCTTGTCGCACCCATGAACCTGGAACAGTTACCCCTGGACCCCTGGGTCCTTTGCCTATTGTTCCGTAGTTTCACTTGTAAGGATTGCCAATTCTCTAGGAGAGAATTGCAAATATGTTTGACAGTTCTTCCGTAGCTTATTGTTGTAGTTTTGCAGTTCAGCCTGTTTTGCTGTGGATATAAACCCCCTCCAAACAGGTTGTTCCCCACCTATGAATCTCTTGTTGAATCTCATTCTCAACTTGTCAGTCCAATCAGATCCAGCCTGACATCTTACAGTTTTCTCAGTTCCCTCAGTACCCTCAGTCCCTTGTCACCCTCTGTATACTCCTGAAGCTCTACGAGCCAGAGACAAGTATTGGGTTACAGCCCCATCTCAGTCATCTTGCCTACCCATTGGGGATTAGATCCCGCCCGTGACAGTATTCATACCGGTCCATATCGTCCACCAACAGGCTTGGCTGAATTTGTTACTGATCAGATCCCCCTCTGTGAGTTGCCTCCACTATTGGACGGTACACTGGCCATCACCATGGATTGCTGTCACAATCGTCATTTCTTCTTCTCTACTGACTGACGGTCGACAAACCTCGGCTAACTACGTCGTCATGGGGTGTCGATGTCTCACTGAGGCTGGGTACTCGACGGGGAACAACGGCTAACTACGCCGTGGTGGTACGTCGAATGGTAAACAATAAGGTGATTGTCAATGAACTACAGCTAACTTCGCCGTGGTGCGTCGACCTGCTGAGTGGTAGCTCTCCTTAACTCGAAGGTGGTAGCTACTGAATATATCTCTTGCTACTGACAACAATCAAGGATCACTGAAGAAGTTCAGCGATCTGTAAACTATCTGTACTTCTCCTCTCTTCTCATAGAACGTCCCTCAACTCCTGCACAGCCTCACGCTCAGTCCCCTTCGATCAACTTCGCCGTACCTCACTGTATCCCCAATATCCTAATCCGCTCCCTTTGACTAACTTCGCCTAACTTCCCCTACTATGCTCTCCCTCGGTTTCCTTCTCCTAACTTCGCCGTAGTTCTCCGTTAGGCGTGGTTGTCGTGACAAATAATCCCTAGGTTCTCGTAACTTCGCCGTAGTTGGTGTCAGTGGTTCGGGGTGGTGGTGGATAGTGGTTCGGTGATGGTGAAAGGAGGGTGGGTGATGGTAGTTGTCAGGGATGTTTCAACATGGTTTGTGACAATTGCCCAGGTTCAAGTACTGCCTTGTCCCATATGTGTACCTTGAGTGTCTTAGTTCTGTTGTCACTGTTTATGCCTAGACACACCTGGATTGCACCTTACCATGGCCTTGGGGAGGTGTCTGTCATTGACTCTGGGGGAGTGTATCGGTCCAGCCTGATGTTGAATCCTTCCAAATCCAGTCTCTGGTTTGGGAGAGAGGACAGGAATGCTTCCAACTGCTTGGAAATTGCAG